GGCACTGATCTGAAAAGTTCTGGTCGATTCGGTAGCAGAGACTGGAATCTGGGTTGTTTCTTCTTTCAGGGCAGCTCGCTCATCGGTATACTCCGCTGGTTGCTCAAGTTCGATGTCCTCTGCTAGCTTTGTTTTTCCTTTCAAAGCAGCCACGTAACACTTGCGGGATTCGAGCTGGTCACCTCGCACGACCCTTATTCCATAGTCAGTTGGGAACTTCATCGCTAAGTAGTAAATGGACACTATCGCACGTAAAACATGCGTGATAGGCTGACCTACTATCGCATTGTAGGGGGAGGGAGTCATGACCACCAAGAATGTGTGCTCAAATCGTACGATGTTCGGCCATGTGCTTGCCTCCACGGGTGCTATGACTCGACCAAGAGGCCTGATCTCCTCACCGTTGAACCCTATCAAGGGTGTATCTGCCGATTTCAGGTCGCTCTATTGTAACTGTAATTTATCGAAAGTCTCCTTAAAGAGTATGTCTGCTGAACTGCCTGAGTGTACTAAGATGCGTTTCACGTCGAAGTTGTTGATCCTTAGCTTCACTACTAAAGCATCATCGTGCGGGTACTAGATCCCACGCGCGTCATCCTCTGTGAAGTAAATTGGTTCTTCGAGCCGAGGTTGCTTTGGCGGGTTTCCGCTTTCATTCTCCAATTCATGTACTGAGGTCCTCCCAACTGCTGATGTACATCCCGCAATGATGGACCCGCTTGTGATCATATTGATCACTCTGCGAACTGGTCTCTCCTCTGGGAGCTGCCGAGGTGGTTGCTCATTCAGCTTGCTAGTCTCGGGGGAATTTCTCCTTTGGTCCCCTTGACGATCCCCCTGTCGGTCTGCCTGCCCCCTCTCTTCTTGCAGGATGTAATTATTTAGGTACCCTCGATGGATAAGTTCTTCGATCTCATTGCGGAGATTCTTGCAATTTTCCGTGTTGTGTCCATGATCTCGATGGAAGTGGTAGTAGACATTCGAGTTTCTTGTTGTCGGGTCTCCCCTTAGCCTGGGAGGCCATTTGACAAAGGAGGAGTCCTTAATAGCTATTAAGATCTCTCGCTTAGCATTTAGAGGTGTATAGTTCGTTCTTTCTACGGACAGAGTCCTAGAACGCCAACCTGACTTGTGGCCGCGCGAGGGGGACCTGCTTCTTGACTTGCTTCTTCCCCTACTCGGGGATTTGCTCTTCTTTCTTTTCTGCCCGCCATTGCTTGTCCCTTTATTCTCTCTTTTCCTCTTTTCAACCAGTGGATTGTTAGTCTTCTAGTTAATCTCCTCCTCGGTATCGATGAATTTGTCTGCCAACTTAAGGAACTCGATGATATCTTTTGGTTTGTTGGCTACCACACGCCACTTGAACTCTTTGTGAGTGATCCATTTCTTTGTTGCAATGAGATGCACCGCTGGATCGAGGTCCGGTATCTACAGGCAAGTATCATTGAAGCACTTGATGTAGCTTTTGATTGATTCTCCTTCCCTCTACATCACGTTCAAAAGGCTTTCTTGTGACTTCGGGCATTTCTTGCTGGTAATGAAATGCGCGGTGAACAAGTCAGCAAACTACGCCTAGCTTTTGATGGAGCCCGGTGCGAGGTTCCTATACCAGGTTTGAATTACCCCCTGGACATGGTAGAGAAGGCTACACACATGCAGGATTCGTCAGCCCCGGTTAGGTGCATCTGAGACTGGAAAGAATCCATGTGATCATTGGGGTCAAACGACCCGTCATACTTATTTAATGGAGGAACCTTGAAGTCTTTCGGCATTAGGGTTGCTAGGAGCTCGGGAGACAGAGGAGATGACCGACTAAGCAAAGGGGGTGCAGTTTTCGTTGCCACCAATCTCACTTCTTCCCTTTCTTTAGCTCACTCTGCTTGTTGGCTTGGCTTTACTGGCAGGCTGTTTCTGGCCGAGGAGCAGCGTGTCTTGCGGCGTCACCGTTGTTGCTTCTTCACCGGCTCAACATTGGTGTTGCTGACCTCAGTCTGGTTTGGTATCTCGACATCATTGCGGACATTGTTGCGAGGTGGATCCTGGTTCCTTCTTGCCGAGTTCTGGCTGTGGAGTTCGCACTAGCTATCACGAGGCACCGAAGGGTTCAACCTTGAGTTCGCACCTCGAGCTCCGGGCTGGTTGTTATCTCCTCGCGATCCATTGTTTTCCTACTGAGAGTGCCATAGCGGGTTGGCTCTGTTGAGTTGGCTATCCTCAGGTCTATTTCTAAAGTTTCTCCTTCCACGAGGTGAAGTTTGACCCCTGGGAGGGACCCTCACCTGTGAGGTCCCCTCACCCCGATGGGGGGATTGGGGGATCGGCAAACATTCTGGCTAGTTCCAGGCCAGTTCTGGTTTTGGCCCTGGCGCAACCCTAGGTGCTGGGGCGGAATTGGCTATTGGTTTGGCTGCAGTGGAGGGAACTATTGGTACAGTTAGTACTGCTGAAGTTGTTGGACCTGCTGCATCTAGATCTGCATCGTTTGGACGCACTGAACAAGGTCACAGAATTGGGAGTGCTCGATTCCAGGGGGGACCACAAATGGCTTAGAGAAAGTCACGCCCACTAGAGGAAGCGGGATGCTCACTTGCGTGGTGCCTTGTGGTATAGGCAGTGACGGAACCCCTAGAGCCGTAAGGGGAATGGTAAACTGGCCGATGCACACTGTGGAGCCTTGGGGAAGGTTTGCTGATCTTGCCCCCCGGTGACATTCATCTCGATGCTTTTTCCGATGTTGCTGGAAGAATCCATTGAGGTAGATCGAAAGCTAGAACTACAACTGAAATTGGGATGACCTTTTGATCGGTTTCCACAGACGACGCCAATTGATGGTGCGCGATCTGGATACTCCTAGCTGGAGGATGATTTGGACCCTAGTCGCGTGGCGAGCTAGACCAAGGTACAAGATAAAAGATCAGAGAACCTGGGGCGGCTAACCCGGCGAGGTTGCTCCGATGCTTAAGTCAGTACTATATTATGGATGCGAGCTGAATAGTTGAGTGCTAATGAGCAAATAATCGCGCGTACCTTTGCCTTGAGGTTCAATGTCCTTATATAGTGGAGTAGCCGTGAATCTTACGAGAAAGCTCCAGGATCTCCGAGCTGCATAGATAAGATCTCCGTTTTTGAAGGAGAGAAATGCGTCAGTTGATAAGGTTTATCGCTTTCCTCCGATTCGGGCAGAGCGAGGATGAGCCCTGTTATTAGATGTTGTGATCCTGGAAAATTCGGAGTCCGTTATGAGGCTTCTGGAGTCGATTACATGGCGCTTCGATTCTTTAGCCCTGAACTAAATTGGGTGTCAAGGTGCCTTTATGCCGAGGTGGTTTTGGGCCGAGGTGATCGAATACCCGAATTCTAATTGTTGCTGACTGAGCTCTTTTCACTGAGTTGTCATCCCTCGAACAGATCTCGTCCACATAACCTCTACTTACTAGGTTGTGCCAAATCATCCTTCATCAAGAAGTGTCCCCAGTTCTGTATCCTCGCCTGGAGTCCAATCAAAAGAAAGTCATTATGAGATCTCTTGCCACTGGATATATTTAGGTTGTAGGATAAAGTGGGATGATACGTGCTATGCTGCCTAACAGGTGGTATCTGGTTAAGATAGTATTATCATGTACCCCATAGACAAAAGGAGCTGACTTTGTATACAGATGAGCAAATGAAGAGTTTACAAAGACAATATTAATTCATATGGATGATATTTCTATTCATTTGAGACCTATTTTGATGGGTCATAACTCTCCTAGATGTTAGATGGCACCCATTTCGTAACAAACAATTTGGTTGATGGCCTCATCCGATGTGACAAGTTTCATCATAATAAGATCAGTTAATATGTTGCGGATTGTAAAGATGGAGTGCTGTTATCAACATTATTTTTCAGAGCCACCAGATTTAGAACTGTAAATGTCTGGTATCATTATGCCATATTGTTACCTGGAAACCAGGAAAGTAAACCATTAAAAGAAAAGCAGGAAAATTTATCACTATTCTAGTGATAAATTTAACTAGAATAGTAGAAATTGTAACTATCACTGTCATATCATAATGATAAAAAAAGAAGTCTGGAATCTGCATTATAGGGCCTGATATTTTGGTATTTTAAACCTAGGTTTCAAACTTTCAGGGACATTTACAATCAAGTGGTCAGCATATCATTGTCTTGCAGATTCATATACACAAAGATCAGTCTTTAACTTGAGCAAATACATGCTTTTTTTGTCAATCTTCTTGCAAATAATAGTGGAACCGTGGAGGTATCAGGGATATAATGGCATATTTTGAATAAAGAAATACATAAAACTTTCCTAGACCAAGTTGCGTGGAAGTAGTACGCTCGTTAAACTTTTATCTTCAACAATTTATTATTATTATTATTTTTTTAAACCAAAGGTTGATTCCATCCATCAAAAACAGAGTTACAAAAGATCCATATGTAAAGATCTTAGCAAGAATTCCAGAGGATCAGACCAAAATGTAACTCAAGAGATATGTAAAGCCTGTTGTGCCAACCTGTGAGCTACCCCTTTACAGCTTTGAGGGGTATATGACACAATAATTGAAGAGTAATAAAGCTTATCTGCAATCTGCAAATTACAGAAACAAACTTTCCTGCCTTTAACATGGTGTTGTAAACCTACACAATTTTTTTGTCAAAACCTACCTTCCATTTTTTTTGATAGTTAAAAAACCTATCTTTCCTTATAAAATTACAAATCTACATGTCTATAGATTAACAAAATCTCTATTTTAAATTTAGAGAAGATATAAAAGCCCTTTCTTTTTTTTGTGCCTTTTCCTTACTAATAATGAAGGCAAACCTCGTATAAGTTCTTTAATCATCATATCTGAAATGTTGAAAACTACAGCCAATCTACCAGAAAAAAAAGGAAAAAAGAAAAATTAGAGCTTAAATGATAAAATAATTATTTATCAGAGTGTGAACTGTGAACGTTCTCTATGTACTTGCCATTAAAACTGCTAAATAGTTAATCACCTGCAAATACACAACCATTTTATATTGATTAAACTCCCAAACTAATTATCATATAACGTCTACTTACTAAAAACACACTCCTAACTTGCTAGCATCACATTTGACCCTAAAATCCTTGTAAATTTACACTTGTTCCCTACAAATCAGATTGGTTACATGAGACCATTGACTTGGATGACACCAGTTCCAAGTAGCAAGTAATGACTAGTATTGCATGATCCATGATTGTTCCATTTGACACTGGCTATGCCTCAAGAGATGCCATTCTGAGGGATCTGCCAATGGAAGAGCACCAAAAGTTAGATACTACCCATTTCTGGTTATGATTTACTAAATTAAAAGACTTTATCATAAATAGTTAAAATGTTGCACATTACTCACAGACATAAAGAGATGACCTCTCCTGCAGACTATCAGCTCTGACAGATCTTCCTTATCAACCCAATTACCTATCTTGTTTGAGACAAGCCTATTTCATGATATTCCTTCCTAGATTGACCCTTAAGGTATACTCTGCTACAAGTTTTGTGAATGCTGAAGATTTGTTTTTTAGCAATTTTCTTGGGTGGTCATACTCCACAATAAGACCTGACAAAAATAGAAAAAAAAATTGGGAAACAAGTTTTTGAACAAAGTAACCACCCAGCAGAAAAATACCAATTTATCCATGCCAACCAACCTTGATCAAGTAGCAAGATCATGTCACTATCAAGGACAGAATCTATTCGATGAGCTACACTGATGACTGTTGACCCTGAAAATTGATCTCTTATTGTTCTCTGGATCAGGCTATCAGTTGCTGTATCTAATGAAGCTGTTGCTTCGTCAAGAACAAGAATTTTACTCTGTTTTAGTAAAACCCGTCCTAAGCAGACCAGCTGTCGCCGACCAAGGCTCCAATTTTCACCATTCTCAACTACTGCAAAAAAATCCCATTAACCACAAAAGTTAACCCAGGAATATGCTATGCTTCTGTAATGAGCATATGTGCAAATTCAAACCTTCTGAATCAAGCTTTTCCTCTTTCTTCCTAATTTCTTCTCCCAGTTGACACTTGTCTAGAGCTTCCCATATTTGTTGGTCTGTGTACTCACCAAGTGGATCAAGGTTGCTTCGCAGGGTACCCTTGAACATAGTGGGGTCTTGTGGAATGATACTTAATCTGGACCTCAGATCCTGCAGCCCTATATTTCTAATGTCAATACCATCGATTAGAATTTGACCACAGGTTGGATCCACAAGGCGGAATAACGAATGTATAAGAGTAGATTTGCCACTGCCTGTTCTCCCAACAATCCCAATATTTTCTCCACCATTGAAGGTGCATGTAATACCACACAAAACATGGGCCAAGTGTGGGGCATAACGAACCTGAATCCACTTGGGGTTGTTAAAAAAATATTGAGAAACTACAACATTTCTATTTTGCTGGAAGAAAATGAAAGCTGTGTTCTACAAGCATATAGACATCTATTACAAATATTGAAAGTTTGGAACATGGATTAATGTTAATGTTGCCTGGACTCTCCTAAATTGATGAAGTATCCATGTCAGAGTTATCTATGATTCTAACACTCCATGGGTTGTTGGAGGACATTTCTGTGTAATATTTTCCTTTCTGTCCTCCCTTATCTGATATAAATAAATAGCTAATGTACAAAATGGATGCCGATTTTCTTATGAAAAATTATTAAAACACAAATATAAACTTTAAACCCATTTTCTATACATATGTAATATTGAAATACAAAAAGATATGAACTACTTAAAGATTTTATACTTTTCTATAGGCAAGTCTACAAGTCTGTTTTTTCTTCCCAAGTCAGACTCCTGGACATGCATCGCATTCTTATTTTTAGGCCCATGTGTATGTTAATTATTATTTCTTTTTTCTGGTAATAGATAATTACACAGATTTCCTAGTTACTATTGGATTATGTATTTTTCATTCATTCAAAATAAAATGCCATACATTGAGACTTGACCTCACCTGTAAATTCTGAATCTCAACTTCTCCACAGGATGGCCAGTTAGGATCAGGTCTATTTCCTTCTATTATGGGAGGAGGTTCATGGGGAATGCATGCGTATTGAAGTATTCTCTCTACAGATACAATTTTATTCTCAAGGTCGCATAGGGTAAATATGATATCTTCTTGTAGCATGTTCAAAGTAAGTCCATACATCACTGCTAACCCTGCAATGACTGGAAGAAGAAATGGAGGGGGGAGAGGAAACTCTAAGCAGTAGCCACTGGTAAATAATGAAAACTTAAGGAATACTTTTTTGAAGAAAAAAATGTAATGAACTTACTTGGATCAATTACTCCTGGTAAGGTGATCAAAAGAACCAAAGCGAAAGTAAACATCACTAATGACAATATATCCAAGCGGAAGAATAGCCACAACATTGCACCAATACGGTAGAGATTGGGTTGTTGATAAGAATTAATTAGCTTGAGATTTTGTTTCCATGAATCTCGATTCCTGATCAAAACTCCTGATTGTAGTTGACCCTGATGCTGTTTCTGTAAAATGTTGTATGATATCAGCATTCCGCACACCGACCATCCGAGATAACTCTTTTATTGTGGCTATGCAGTATTGCTGCAAATTACTTGAATCATGAGAGAAGGAAATGAAGTTTCCGACTTACTTGTGCAGGCATGAAGAAACAGAAAAAAGAAAGCCACAACAAACAAACTCAAACACAAAATGAGAGAACATTTGTTAGTTAATTTTAGGTAAAGGATATAGACAATGAGAAGTTGTGTTGTAATTTTAAATTAAGGGAACAGAATAAAGAAACTGTAAAAAATGTTACAAAAAAAATCAGGAGCACTTTGAATAACACAGAGAATATATAGATATGTACCTGATACCAGATAGAAATAGAGATCATAAGGACAAAAATTATGAAAACATGCCAATAAACCTGGGACATCATTATTACTGTTCCCAAAAGTTGAATGGTTGAAAAAGCAAACCATTTTATTAAATTAGGTATCGACTCATCAACCTCGCTTTGATCAATTGATGCCTGCAAACAAGTCTTATTCACATTAAAAGGGGTACTCGGTTAGTATCATAACGTAAACAAGACAAGGTGTTACTTACTCTATTTAGGATACATGCAGAAGAAGTGGAGTCAAAGAATGACATTGGAGCTCGGAAAACACAATTGTGCATCTTCTTGAATAGCAGTGTAGCTGTCTTGTATCCAGATATTGCTTGAAGCAAGTCCGCAACAAGGATACAAACAGAACTTCCAAGGGCCAATGCAACATATTGTATAAGAAATAATCCTCCAGTTGGAGTTCTTTTATCTTCTGAAGCAGGAAAAGTACCAGCCACCCAGTATGTGCTCCCAATTTGAAGAAATTGAAAGAGAATTTGGGCAAGCAAAATACATGGTATGAGGGCGCCTCTATATGATGTTGTAATGTATGTCCAATAGATAGACATACCAACTTTGCCCTTGCCTCCATCTTCTTCTTGAACAAACTGCACCTTCGGCACTACTATCTCATCAAACTCACTATTTACTCCATCTTTTCTTAATTTTCCTTTTTTACAATTTTCCACAAAATAATGCAAGTTTTCTTCATTTTCTACCTGGTTTGGACATGTACTCTTTGTGGAATCAATGGCCCTTAGAGCTTTCTCATGTGCTGAAATCAGTTCCACGAAGTCAGATCCTGAAATAAGAATATCATCATACTTCCCTGCTTGTGTAATCATCCCATCATTCATTAACTTGAGAAAAAAAGAAAGTACACTGAGTCGAGGAATTATTACTGAGAACAAACATATCCTGATGGATGAAGAAAATAAGAACAGAAGTGCTCACCAGGATAAGGTCAGCATATGGTAAAAATTCCACCTGATGGGTGACATAGATCACTGTTTTTGATCCCAAAAGGCCAAGTAAACATCTCTGCCACAGATGAGTTTGCATGTTTATTAAGGATCATATGGAGAAATGTATCCTATTTCCTAATAAGATTCAAAAGCATCATATATAGATATAGTTTATCCTTTCATGGAAGTGATGGAAACAAACAACATTATGCAAGATTATGAAGAGCTCAAATCAGCCCCCCACAACGTCCCACAGCACATCCCCGCCATGTATTGTGAACATCTTCCGATGATGACAACATCACTTCTGGTATCACCATCAGGAGATGTTCCCAATACACGGTTTGAATGTGCTGTGGGACGTTGTGGGGGGCTGATTTGCTCTCGATTATGAAACCTTAAATTGAGGTGATCCATAAATGGATGAAAGCAGACACAAAAACAAACACATGCAAACGTGCTCATGCACACAAGGATTTAAAATTGAAGGAAGAAGAGGAGCAAATTTAAAGAAATAGGTTTCTGAGGCTGAGTGGAACAATTAAGTGTCAAAAGCAAAAGAAGAGATACCTTAAAGAGATGGGTTCCCGTGTAAGCATCAACAGCACTGAAAGGGTCATCAAACAGATAGATATCAGCATCCTGGTACAAAGCACGAGCAATTTGAATCCTTTGCTTCTGACCACCACTCGGGTTTATCCCCCTCTCACCTATGATTGTCTGATCCCCAAAATCAAGAACCTCAATGTCACTCTTCAAGGAGCATACTTCAAGAACTTGTTCATACTTCTCCCTGTCCATCTCTTTGCCAAACAGTATATTATATTCTATTGTGCCACCCTGTATCCAAGAAGACTGAGAAACATATACCTTACTCCCTGCCAACGTAACAGTCCCAGATAGCCTGGGGACTTCACCCAATATGCAGGACAGCAAGCTTGACTTCCCAGAACCAACAGTTCCACAAATAGCCACCTTCATGCCATTGTACACTCGCAAGTTTAAGTTTCTAAGGGTAGGGTTTGCATAGGATAGATCCCAGGAGAAATTTCCATTAATTATTTCTACTGAAACCTTAGAGCTTCCTCTTGGGAGCTTCTCTAGTATGTCTGGATGGAGGTCTTCAAGGCAGAGGAATGAGACAATCCTGTTAAGAGAGATCTTCATCTGAGCAAACATGGTAATTATAGCAGGAAGTTCATCAATAGGTACTTGCAGATATCTGAATGTTGCAAGGGCAGATAATATCCTTCCTGAAGTCAAAGGAATGCCCAGAGGTATACAAGACAGAAATGAGATGGCAGCCATAAAAGCAGGTACGCCACAGAAAAGAAACACTTCCACAACCGAAGTGTACAAATACTTCCTCAACAAATTCTCTTCTTTTTTCCTTAGTTCATATATTTGGGACAAGAACCTCATCTCCCAAGCTTGAAGCTTGAGAACTCTCATGTTCCTCAGAATCTCAGCTGTTGATTTCATGCGTTCGTCTTTTGCTTCCATCATACCAAGCTGGAACTTCTGTTGCAATCTCCCCACAGGTATATTACCTACCATAATGGTCATGGCAGCTGCCAAGGTAATGAATGAAGCAGGTCCCATGCTCCTGTACAAGATAAACATGGCCACTCCAATTTGGAATGGGACAAGACATAGACGAATCGCATACCAACTGAATTCCCCAATCCTCTCAGTATCAACACTCATGAGATTGACAATCTCTCCACTAGTATAGTCCTGCTTTGCACGGCTGGAGAGTGAGAGAAGCTTCTTATAGATAAGTGCAACCAGTGCCGTGTGGCCCTGCATCCCAAACCGATCAGCCCAGAAATGCAATTGACCTTGTGAAAGACACTCAACAAGCTTTGCCACAAGAAATACCGAGACTAATAGACATCCTTTGAGTGTGGAGTTTCCTCTGTCATGTAGGTATTGGATGAAGGTTTCCATTAGATAGGGACCCACATAAGAAGAGATTGTGTTTACAAGAGCAAAGAAAGCTGAATATAGGATTTCCTTCCACATTGATAAAATCAAGGCTTTTAACAATAAGAGTGATCCCACTCCATTACTTTCATTATCACTTCCACAATAAGATTCGAGCTTGTTTATAAAAATTGGGAATATTCTATTAGCACTACCAATTTCTGCAATCTCAGGAAGATCATTTGGGTCTAGTGTCTTCTTATTACCAAGTGAAATCAAAGGACTGATCCAAGAAAATGTCAACAGACTGAGAAGACCTGCACTTGAGTAAGGACTCACATTTCTAATCCCATTCCCATTGGATGATCCACCAACACCATTTAAAAGAGGTTCTTGAAGAGGAATAGTATTTTCTCTGTTCCTACCTCCAAATAAACCAATGTAACACAGGAACGAACCAGGGAGTACTGATCCAATGTCCAAAACCCAGAAATGGGTGGGCAAGTAGCATTTGTGTTGTGTATACAATACAATGTCTAGAGCAAGGCAAGAACAAGAAAGTAAGAAGTAGAAACCCCACCAAATCCTTGGAAATATTGGGTACTTCTTCTCACTTGAATAAGACAAACAGGCACGTAAGTAACCACAGACTACAAACCAAGCAAGAGTTCTGAGTACTAAATCAAACTGTATAGCAAGATAATTCTCAGACGATTCAGACCACCCATCACGGTACCAATAAAAGTAGTTTAAAACGGATAAAATTAGATGAAACAAAGACATACCCAAACAAGAGAGAAGAGTTGGAATGTAAAGTAAGAACTTGGCGTTATCCTTCAACCTCTGCTCCGTACATTCATGGCTGTTCACCTTGAGTCTGTTGCAGACCCAGGCCACGGACATAACAAGTAATAGAACAAAGTGTGCACAAGCAGAAAAGCCATGAAGGACAACTAGGTTTGGCTTGAAGAGAAAGTAAACCTGCATGGCTGTAACACTGGGTTTCTTCACTCTTGCCTCTCAAATGCGTTTCTGGGTTTTGGACAATTGGACCAGATGGAGAAAATTTGGAGTGGTATCTCTCCATTGTCAGTAAGTCTATTTAAATGGTCTTCGCAAAATCCTGTCACTTCATCGACACGTAATTTCCACGACAGAGGAACTCTTTTTTCAGGCTAACTCCATGACAGGAAGCTTCAAGCTTGGCATCATCAAGAAAGAGACGTAGAGCGCTGACTGGTTCGTTGATAGACACGACACAACAGGTCACGGACCTGGGTAACACCGTTTAACCGTTAACCCATAGTCATTTCAACCTGCTCAAATCCCTGTGAACGGTTGATATGCTTCATAAACGGTCCTACAAAGCAGCGCAACCGGAGCCTCACAACACTACAACGGTGAGATTGTTTTGTCTTCTCAATTAGTAGCTTCCTGAAAAGTGAAAAGGAAAGAGTTTACCAAATTCCAACCGGTCCATTAGAAACGGGTTTTGAATTGATGAGAATTGAGATTGGATGATCCGGATGATCGAACCCGTAACATTTATTTTAAGCCCAACTAATGACAAGGCCCATGGTTTTCTTATGGGTATACATGGTTAGTGGATTCATTGTGTAGTTTTCAAGAGACCATAGCTTAAGTCCAAAATCCAAACGTGGGAAGCAAGTTAAAGGTTGTAGAGGAATGTATCAAGAAAGACGGTAATTAGTGGTGTCCTTGGGTTAAATATTGTTGGATTAGAGCCTTTAATATAAGTGTTTGATAATGAACAAGAGTGTGGAAGAAAAGGGCTGTACTTAGATCCTACCTCTATGCCACATTCTAGAATATCAAGGTCCAAAAAGAATGTTCAAAAAGGGCCTTTTGGCTACATGAATAATTTAGGCAAAACTTATGTTGTATTAAATTAGTTATAAAGCGATACATCTTTAATATTGTTAGTCTTTAATGATACGTATTTTTATAAAATATGAATCAATGGAGTAGACTATGTGATTAGTCAAAATTTTGATATAATCAAATTCTTTATTCTAATGTTGTGTTTGGTTTGATAGAAAATAAATTGAAAGAGTGCAATAAAAATAATTAACATATTATTGAATTACTAATTAAAGAGCATGTGAATTATAAACAGTTTTTATTTTTATCGGTCTCCATCTGACACGTTAGTCCATAGAATCATTCTTCTATCCTTGTTAGACTAAGGCTGCATTTGGCATTCCTTATTTTAAGAACTTATTTCCTTTTTACAATTAAAATATCTCTATGAATATTGAGCTTTTAGTTGCAAAAAGGAGATAAGTCCTTAAAATAAGGAATGCCAAATACAGCTAAGACATTCCTTATTTTAAGGATTTTTCTCCATTTTCAATTAAAATGTCCCTATGAACACTGAATTTTCAACCACAAAAAAGAGATAAGTCATTAAAATCAAGAAGGCCAAATGTAGCCTAAGCCTAAATTCATATAAACTAACGTAAAAAAGGAGAGCCCTATGGACAACAGAGGCTATAGGACATAGATGGCCAAATTTTTTCAATAGTACATAGCTCATAAAGCTGTAGAAATGGCAAGTTAGTCATATATTTTCTTTTCCTTTTTCTATTAAGTAATTTTTTTTTTCAAATAGTACATAGTTCATAAAGATGTAGAAATGGCAAGTTAGTCATATATTTTCCTTTCCTTTTTTTAATAAGTAAAATGATTGCTATGAGAAACTGTGAACCATCAATTGTATATAATGTATCATGTTGACCCTGTATTATGATACGATGGGGTTAACATGATTTTGAAGGTTGTATACAATTCCTAATGACTAGGGTTTATCGATCTTCACTGAAAGAACTTCACTATCTAAGCCATTTTCAAATATTCAAGTTTAAAACAACTCGTAAGAGAACATCTTATGCATGTGTGAAAGTATGTATTAATGATATATGATATATGGTATTTCGGTATTTTGATTTATCTTTTATAACCTATATATCAAACCCCATCTAAGGGTTTACAACATGAGGAAAGTTAGATAATTTTTCTTAATGCTTAGTTTGGAAAGAGTACAAATATAAATAGATATAAAATAATACAAAATATAAAGTTTTGCATTCTACATATTTGTATTTATACTCCATCCAAACTGAGCCTTAATGTACCCCAAAAAAGGGTAAACTCTATATAGTGCCCTATAGCATGGGATTGTTTCACTTAACTACCTTAAGTGATCTCAGTGATATGATTCCTTCACCAATTTAGTTATTTTTTAATCTATTAATTAAAATCAATCCCTTGTTCACCAATCAGAACCCCATATGAGTTTTGATGGATACCAATTGATTGGTTAGCACACTTCTAGTCGGACTGAGATGAATTAGAAAGAAAGCTTTCAGGAAATATGTATTTTTGGTATCAAGATATTGTCATTTGGTAAGAGTGCAAACGCAAATATGTACAGTTATGAAAATATAAATTTGATTTGGTTTTGCATTGATAAATTTTATATTCTTATCAAACATAGGTTGTGTTGGGTACATATTTTTTTCACATTGACCAACTTTGAATGCAAAGATTACATCCATTTTTTAAAAGCCAACTTTATTTTCATTTTGAATGCAAACATGTAAGAAAATTCAAATCTATTGTCATTTTCAATACAAAAAAGGTATTCTTGCCAAATAGTTGCAAAACTAAATGAGAGTTCATTTGGTTCAATATTTGCACTCATACCAAATGCACCTTGCAAATCATTTTCAATACAATGATGTTTGGCATCATTGTCAACAATTACACCTTGAAATTCGATAAAATAACAATTAGATTCTGTACATATTTTAGATTTGCTACAAGCAAAATCCAATGATGCCGATAGGTTTTGCTACGAGGCAACTCTTCTTGGTGGCCACAGATGGAGAACATGGAGTAGGTGCTAGCGATACTGGACTTAGTTTAGGACCGTCTTTGGCTTCCTCATCTTGGCCTCATTAGGTGGATTTCTCATTCAGCTCATCAAACGGCGACAGACAACCAAAGATGGCCTTGCAGCAGCAGCAATATCAACAACATGTGAAGAACTGGGAGATGGGAGCCTCACATCTGGTATTAACTTGTTGTATATATGCTCCTTTGTCCATTTGAATTCGAATTTCTGACTTCTATTTTTATGTCATTTTTCAACAATTTCTCGTTTTCTCTTTTGTATAGGGATTGTGGCTCTTGGGTTACCTATGGCGGTAAAAGAAGGGAGGAGGAGGGGAGGAGAGAGAGAGAACATGGTGAATGACTAGTACCGTGTGGACATGGGGTAAGGTTGATTGTGATTGGTGAGGGCAAAATTGGATTTTCAAAAAACTAGAATGTCCCGTGATGTAATGTACAAGCGGAATGTGCCGTTAAACTGTGTCTGTTTGGCATCAATGTCATTGCTCCAGAAAATGGTGACACATCAGCGTTACGTTGGAAAAAACGGTATTCTAGGAAACATCAATACGTTTGGAACTGTTTTTCCATAAAAAACGATGTTCTAAGCCACACCTTGGAAATCGAGAAAGCATGGTTTGGAGCAATGCCGAATTCGACATTTTCTCATATTGGAGCTCGTTGCTGCCAATAAGGACATGAAGTGGCAGTGACATGGACTTCCTATAATGGGTACCAATGCTGAAAACGGATATGGATGTACCAAACATAAGATTGTTGTTGCTCCAAAAAACGTCCTACTTAGCATCAACATTTTCAAACAAAAAAAAGACACCGTTTTCTTAGAAAATAGTGCTTCTAACCCATACATTAGCAAAAAAAAAAAAAAAAAACGGTGCTATATTTACAACTTAGATGCCAAACATACACCAAGACGGAGTGGTAGTTTGTGTAATATTACATAAGGATCTGATCTTAAGCTGGGTTTGAAACCTTTGGAGTACTTTTTTTTGGTAAGCCACCTTAGGGGTACTTTAATTAATTGTCAGATGACTAAGGGTAGTTTAGTCCAGATATTGAACCCGGGAGAGAAACATAGTTTAGAATTAGAGATATTAATTAATATATACCTTGAGGTTTGAGGAAACTGCTACTTATGTATACTTTTAGCTTCAAAAACTATTTATACATACCTTATTCAAAAACTACAAGAAAGAGTTAGAGTTTGGGGAGCCAACACTTTCTTAGGGTTGTCAACGGGTTGGATCTTGGTAGAACCAGTCCTGAACCGATTGGAACAAAATCATAGACGCAGAGTCGTCCTAGTTCATTGATAGTCAAGTCTATTGAATATGGGCCCGATAGATCCAACTATACTAAAAATTATATTTGTTTATTTAAATAATAACTTATATTCTAATTTTGATAATATAACTGATGATGTGCATTTTGGCAGCTCTTGGCTGGCTTGTGACTTAGATGCCTAACTGAATAATCCCTATTTTGAAGGTGGCTTGAACGTCTAACTGAATGGTGATGAGTAGAAGAGGTGGTTCTAATGCCTAGCTAAATGTTGACAAGCTGGAGAGGTGGCTCTGATGCCTGGATGAATGGTGATGAGTTGGAGAGGTGGCTTTGATGCCTAACTGAGTGGTGATGAGCTGGAGAGGTGGCTCTGATGCTTAGTTGAATGGTGACGAGCTGGAAAGGTGGCTCTAATGCCTAATTGAGTGGTGACGAGCTGGAGAGGTGGCTCTGATGCCTAGATGAATGGTGACGAGCTGGAGAGGTGGCTCTAATGCCTAGCTGAATGGTGACAAACTGGAGAGGTGGCTCTGATGCGACCTGCAAGGAAATAGTGTCAGTGCCCGGGTTGCTTTACCCGGGGTGGGCACTCCGATGCTTAAGTTAGCAAATAAGAGATTTTAAGATAGCTAAATGTGAGAGAGTTGGAGAACTACAAGAACTAAAAATTGTGCATCTACCTAGGTCTCAGGGGTTGATGCCCTTATATAGTTGGGCTACCGTGGGTCTCGTGAAACACTCCCGGAATCCTCGGCCCACAATGTAGGGGTCCGTTCCGCTTTGGAAGGAGGATAGCATGCCAGTTAATAAGGCTTACCGTTTCCCTCCGATTCGGATGGGATGAGGATAAGGCCTACGGTTACGCGACGTGATACTAAAACGTTTGGAGACAACTGGCAAGCTTCTAGAGAGGTAGGTCACCAAGTCGGCGACAGAGGCAGATCACCAGGTCGGCGATAGAGGCAGGTTGATAGGTCGGCGACAGAGGTAGGTCACCAAGTCGGCGATAGGAGTAGACCCCCGGGTCGACGACAGAGGTAGGTCGCCAGGTCGGCAATAGAACTAGGTCACTAGGTCAACGGCAGAGGCAAATTGCCAGCTGAGACCCCATTTTGGCTAAGGCAAGTTGTCGCCTACGTGATGCTGGGATGTAGTCCAACTGTTTTGATATGCCATGAGTCATGATGTTAGTGGAGGGCCAAATCTACCCTCATCAATAACCTTAACAAAAATGATAAAAAATACTAAATTATTTATATGTTAATAAATTAAACATTTTAAACTAGCATTATTTTATTTATTATCTATCAAATTTATCACTTTGAATATAAAATATGACAAAAATTATAAAAAATTAAAAAATTAAGAAAATATTATATATTTAATAAAATAATCGGTTTTGTGTCTGAATCAATTTGGGACATACAAGAATATTAATCGAGAAAAAATTGTGGAACCAAAACCATTATAATCACTTCTTTGAGTCTGTTGGGTACACACAGCCTTACACCTCATACGTTTTGTCAATTGATAAAATTGCTTTTTTTTTTTATTCAGGTGAAAAATAAACTCCACCTACATTAGAATTTTGTTTTACCAGTGACTCATTCTTTAGCTTGACCTGGGCAAGTCCCTGTCAAACCATCCATGGCTCATACTTCATCTCCAAAAAGACTCCACCTTAACTGAAATTCCAACCAGAGATTATTACATTAGGATTAGTTAAGCACAATGAATAAACAAAAGAAAAATGATTTGTTTTTTTATTTAATTTATTTATCCTTCCATCGCCTCCATTTTTGAGCGGTGGATATGTTTATAGAAGATGGTGTTGGTGTAGGTTCAATCATTTGTTGAGCTCTCCCTTTCTATCATTAATTCTTCTCTTGTTGGTTATTACTTCTGATGGTTGATTCCACTAGAATCAGCCGTTATCTCTTCAATTATGGTAACGACCCATTTCATTGCAACTTTGCAACTGATCTACTTCTTGTGGTAATTCTTAGTTACTTTTTCAAACTCATTCTCCGGAAACCATTTCCATTGACGCTGTCGTCGGTGATTGATGAGGTGTCTTCCTTATAATTAAAAGGTAGAGTAAATTCTAAATCAGGAATGGTTTTGAGGCCAAGTGGGTAATTGACCTTGAGTCCAGATCACCTACTAATAAAATACATCCCAACACCCTATCAACATCATCCGACACTACACATCTCATGCATGATAGGTCTCACTTTTATGGTGGCCCCCAATTTCATAGTTTGATGTGTGTTGTTAAATCAAATTGATAGGGTGTTGGAACATATTTTGTTAGCTGGACATCCCGTGGCATTGATTTTGATAAACAAGCTTTGGGTTTGAACTTTGGCCCTGCTCGTTTTTCGATAAGTTATTTACCCAGGTAAATGCAGTTACGTGGTTAAGTTTTTCTTAGGAAACACCGGATAAGTGCATTTACCCATGTTCTTTTATTTCTCATATAAATAAGACAATGACCATTTTAGCCATAAAAATCCATTATTAAAAGAGGTATTTTTGTCCCATTCAAGTGTTGGCAACTTTCCCCTTAGGTGGGAAAGTTATTTACTCACCTAGGGGATGGGTATCACCTACCCAGGTAAGTGGTACCCTAATCCCCACTTAAATCTGGAAAAAAAATGAGATTCTTAGTCGATGAGAATTAAAATCTCATTGGCTAACTTTCCCCTCTCTCAAAAGTAGAAAAAATAACACTCCCAAGAAAATTGAGGCGACCAGGGGTCCATGTTCTTGCTGGGTTGTTAACGCTAGGGACTATGGAGTATCTTTTCTTCTCCGGCATTTGGGTTGCCGAACACTATTTCGAGGAACTGTTTGGGTTTTTTGATTTTGCTGGTCCATGACTGATACGACTTGGTCAATTGGAATTTTCAGGTATACCCTTAATTACAGGGGGCTGCTTAGGTTGAAAAGTTTAAAGAAAAAGATCAACAATGCTTTCAAAAGAAAAGGGTAAATTTGAAATTGCAAAAAACAATTAATGATAGCTATAAACGGCCCTAAATGTTTCATTAACTGAGGGCCTGTTATGTCATGCAAAGTCATCTTAAAAGGTAGTGCAATTAATTTTTGAAACTACAAGTTATATATAAGTCAATGTTTTGAAAACTGAGGTCGAACTAGAACCGTTTTGGTCATTAGTTTTTTGGGTTAGAGTTCGACTGTCTGCTTTGAATGGGCGATTCATTATAATTTAAAAAGAAAAAAAAAATAATTAAAACAATTAAAATAAAAATTATCAAAATCATTAAAACAGAACTGATTATCTAGACAATTTTCGGGACAAATGGTCCGATCGTCCAAATTAATAACGATCCAAATCATGATATATGTAGTTTCCTCCAACCTCAAGGTATATACAATTAATTAGCTCTAGGTTTAAACAACATATAAATGTAAGATACGATACATGTTGTTATCCAAACCAACCGACATGATACACAGTAGATCAATTTAATTGTGCTTTTCATGTAGATAGAATAAACATCTCCATGCTCAGTTCTCAGTTTTCACATCTTTGATATATCATCTCCCTCCCTTCAAGGTTGAAGCCACTCCAGAAGGATTAAATAAAAGAAAAATGGCGAACAAAAATTGAAAATTTAACTTGTTCTCACTCACCAACTCTATCTGCATTGTTACTACCATTCCCTCCTTCTCTCCTGCCTACAGTGGTGTTCTTCAAAATCTGCAAAATTAATACAGAGAAATGGCAATACAGTTAGTTAAAGATGTGAAACCATTAAGAAGTAGCCACATGTTAGTGCCTTTATTTACCTACATACACATACACAGAATGGGATTCATTATGCACATAATATATTTATTCAAGAAAATATCCCTGTCCAGGCTGCGTTTGTTTGCAATGCAAATCTGATTCAGTTTTGCATTTATTTATTTGGTGATTTGTACTCTTACCTGATGCAAAACTTGCACACTTTATTTCATTTATATTCATAAGTAGTGCTAATTTTGCATCAAAGTTTTTATGCAAAATATGCATCACTTCCTCCTACCTAAGGTTCAGTTTGGAAGGAGTACAAATACAAATATGTAGAGTGTAAAACCTTGTATTTTGTATGTATTTATATTGTACATATTTGTAGTTGTACTCTTTCCAAACTGAGCTTTAATTCTCTCTCATAAAATGTTGGGATCACATCAATTTGCTTCATACCTTATTCCCCCAAAATTTCTTTTCATATAAATTGGGGACCACATCATTTTACTATTTACTTGTTATGAACAAACAAACAAGGCTAAATCTGAAACAAAAAGTAAACCAAACCAGAATTTACACTCAGTCTTTTTGCACCTCTATCCACTTACCAGTGCATATACAATTTGCATTGCAACCAAACAGAGACTTAGGAGGCTCCATTTGTTTGGGATGCAAAATTTACATCCCAAATTACTTTGCAATTTGTCTCATTTGCACTCATTGAGAATGCAAATTTACACCACCTTCTCCCCACTTTCCTTCTTGTAAGTGGGAGCTGCATCATTTTATTTTCAATTTTACTCCTTCCAAACAAACAACCATCTCCTATAAAGTGGGGACCATATTATTTTATTTCCCATTTTACTCCTTTAAACAAAATAAATAAATAAAATAAACCCAAAACAAAAGTAAATGGTGCAAGTAAAATTTACACTGCAAACAAGAAAGACCCTTAATTCGAAAAGAGAGATTTTAAGGAAAAAGAACAAAAATCTCTCAACCCTTAATTTGTCAAAGAAACTTAAATTGACCAAACTATCCTTCCAGAGACTTAACTCTTCATTCATCAACATGTGGCACTCGTTTCCTACTTTTCAAATGGCTTAAGAAAGGACAGATTAGGTAATAATGTTTAATTGTTCATCAGCATAAAGTTATATGAATTCATGCCTAAGTATTCACAGAAACCAAATAATAATCAGTGGACCTATATGGGCCCACCCATCGTACACTTTTTAGTGGTAAGCCCATGGCCCATAACCCTTTTGCAATAATTATACAATTGGTGATATTTTCACATGACCAAATCACCCCTCTATGAAATTCTAATTTGCTTATTTAATCTATCAGTAGATGATGATTTTGCATACATGCATGTATGTGTATGTTACCATGTAGGTGTTGAATCATTGAATGTAATAAGTGACATTCCATGAGGATGATGACGACGATAATCAATCTGAATGATCATATCATGATGGTAATGGGTGGGGGGGAGGGAGTGCAGTGTGCATACTTGTCTAAGCATCTGGTTCTCATTCTGCAACGTTGAGAGCCTCTCTTCCAGCTCAGAGTTCTTTTGCTCCAAGTCCTTAACCTTCGCCTCCAGCTCATTCAAGTAGGCCTTCTTTCTTTCTCTAGCTTGTTGCGCTGAAACTCTGTTCCTCAGCAACCTACGTCGACCAACAAAAATTCCATTAATATCCCTGCTACATCTCTCACCGATGACTTTTCTCGTAGCCGGAAAAAATGGCGTACATGGCCGGACCCCCGCTTACCTTTTCAATCGTTTGTTCTCTTTGTCAGCTGGGCTTCTACCTCTCTTCCGCTGAACCACTTCCGCAGTGGCCTGAACCCGGTCTGCACCCGCAATCGAACCAGCGTCTCTGCCGGATGTAGACGGACAGGCGGCTTCGCTCCCTATCTCCGGCACTCTCCTTATTTCGTCATCGCTCTCCAATCCTTTTAAACCAGCAAAAGAATGTAACAGAGAGAATGATAAATCCACTGAAAAAAACAAGTACAAAGTTGGGAAAACGCGTTTTTCTTAAAATAATAATAAAATAAAATAAAATCTGACATAGAATAAAATTTCCGGAAGAGAAAAAAAAAGAAAAAAGAAAAACAGATCGATGTGAAGCAAGCTTCACCTTCAAAACCCAAAAGAAAAAAAAAAAAAAAAAAAATCACATTAGAGCAAAAGATCTTCTTAGAATCCTCTAAAAACTTATATTTTAATTTTCTCTAATAAAATCCATCATTATTCTCTCTAATAAGATCATTTTTAACAAAAAAAAAAAAAAAAAAAAAAAAAAAAACAATAGTTAATGACACGACAGAGACCAAAGAAGAAGCAGCATATTTTTTTTGCCGGAGAATTCGTTAAAAACCATCACTATTTCCGGTGAGAAGAATATACCCAGATGATTAAATCAGATAAGCAGGCAAATTCATCAGAGAAATCGAATGAAGAGGAACTAGGAAACACTTCTGAACGATAACTGCAATCGTTTCGCAATCAAACGAAAGTCTTAAAAGTCATACCTTCTTTGACTTCCAGCTGAAGAGCAGAGCTGGAAGATCTCTCGCTACTGGAAGGCAGAGAATTTGCTGCGATAGAACTCGCCGCTTGCTCTTGCATTTTGGTCTGCGCTCAACGAGATCAGAGGATGATTTCTTACTTTCTCTGTTTCTTTTGTTTATTTGAGAGCTGGAAAGAGCGGGTTATTATTATTACCGTAGGTAAAGAGCGTCAGAAGATCATATTACAGCCGTTGGTTTCAACTGATTGGACGGTTGTAAAGCGATGAGCGTGGAAGTGCAGGGACCATATGGAGATCAATGTATCCAAAGGCGAGGAAGAAGAGCGTGGAGAATTTTAGACCGTCTGATGTAAAAATCGAACGGGTGACGAGGCGGTGCAATCAATTGGGAACAGGACACAACGTGCTGGCTGCAGAGCCTGCAGTCTCTCGATTGGTGGGATTGCTTGATTGATCAAGATTACGAAACTACCCATACTACTTTTAACGAATTTACGACGCCCTTTAAACAGAGATGCATGGCGCATGGGCGGGATCTGTTACAATTCTGGCTGCATAACCTAACGAGGACTCAATATGTGTTCAGTCAGTTGGAAGGGCTGAGCTAAAGATTCAACTAATTAAACTGGTTTTAACTGCTTTGAAGCGCTTCAGAGAAGTCGTTCTGAAGTAAACAACTTTTCAAACGACCAACTAAGAGCAGGTGAAGGCTCATTTGGGAAGGTTGAGCTGAAAATTCAACTAATTAAGCTGGTTTTAACTGCTTTGAAGCACTTTGGAGAAGTCATTCTGAAGTGAACAGCTTTTCAAACGACCAACTGACAGTCGATTTGGGCTCTTTGGATTTTTCGCCAAACATAGCTTATGGGCTATTTGTGTGCAATTTGGCTTCAGTCAGTGCAATGACCGTTCAAACAGCTCTTACAGTCTTATATCAAAAATATCTTCATATTTATATACTTTATTTCATGGGGAGATATTCCCAATAAATGGTTGCAAGAGATTGTTCTAACAGTGTAAACATAAACTTGCACTGACTGAAGCCTGTCTCATTTGTGTGGGGCTCATCTCAAAAAGCCAAAAGCTGTCCTAAATGGGCACTCTGCTGCTTGCAAAGGTTTTGCAGAAGTTATTCAAAGAGGTTGATGGAGATAGCCCTTCAACTGACTTGATAACGACTGAATTTTCTGAAAGCAAGAAGTGTGCATAGATAGGGCTGTCAATGGGTCGAGACTACCCGATAGAACCGAACCGACTGAACCAATTATGCTGGTTCTGGTTCAGAGTTCTATCCTGTTGGGTTGGTTCTAGTTCTTTATTGTGTGTCCTGATTAAACCTATTCATGGGTCGGGTGGTCTGATGGGCCAGCCCGGCCTGGCCCTCGAACGGGCTTAAACATGTTTATAGGCTCACGAACTTAAACTCGGGCCAAAAAGCCCGGTTTGCAATAAATTAGAGTCGGGCTTGGGTTTTGTCAAAATAGCCCGACCCAACCTAAAATTAGACTTAAAATGGGTTATGTGATTATGCCCATTTGAATAAATTTTTTGATTTAAGAATGTAAAACTGTGTTTTAAAACATAAAAGAAAAGGAAAAAAACCATCTTGTACGCCCATTGTTCATTTAAATAGGAAAAAAAACCATCTGAATTTTTAATTCTAATTTGAATAGGGAAAATTGTAATTTTTTATTAGGTCTGGCTTCAGGCTTGGGCTTGGGCTTCGGGATTTTTATCAGGGCCGGACTCGGGCCCAAGTTATAGGCCCGTTGATCGGGCCGGGCTCGGGCTCGGGCTCGGGCCTAGCGTATTTCCATTAATGATGAGTAAAAGCCCGACCCATGAACAGGTCTAGTCCCGATTATTATCAGTTCAAGACCGGTCTTATCTGTCCCAAACCGATTCAGACCCGAACCGATTAAATATCATAACATTTGTGATATGTTAATGGTATTTTATATAATATCAATTAATGTCTAAAATTGTCCATCTAGTAGAAGTACTTTAATGAAATCCTATGCACCCCTAAACCCTTTTGTTTTTCACTCTGTCTATTATTGACTACTAGTTCTAAACCCTAAACTATTCTCATCTCATCTGCTGTCCCACTAAGGGAGACACCTACACCAAAACCAAACACCACTCACAAAACTTTGAGACATTGCAATTGTAGGCAATAGGCACAAGACCGGATCTGCTTGTTGGGAAGTGTAGTGATGGCATCTATGCAGAAAATGCAAGAATATATAGAAAAAACAGCAGCGGCAAGTAACCATTAATCGGTGATTTTTCTTCTTGAACCTTAGCAGGAAATGACCATCTGATCTGAGCTATGGTTTTTTCTTCTTGAATCCCCACTGTATTTTGTTTTATATCAGTTGTTTTTTCTTCTTGAATGGCAGAAACATGTTGCAGCGGCAGGTAGCACTTTGAGCTATGTTTTCTTCCTCTATGTGATTCTATTTTTATTTTTTGTTTCTTTTGGTACATGACGGCCCAATCATAGAGGGTTATCGTTGTCTCTTTGCCTAAAATCCTATTTACAACTCTGCCAATTATTTTCTACATTCAATTTGATTCCACCAACCATTAGGGCAGATTCAATTGCAGACTTGTAGCTTTACCTCTTAATCTTTGAAGGAAAACACTTTGAATTGTTCTTATCGGGCCAGACCCGATTAGTCCGATTAATAATCGGTTCATTTCTGGGTCCCAAACTATTGTTCCGATAGGGTCTGGTTTGGAACTGGGACAACCTAATTTCTTGTTGATTCGGAACAGTTTCATCCTGTCCTGAACCTTTGACAGCCCTATGCATAGACAGCATGACATTCAAAGCCCAAGCCCCAAGTTTGATTCATGAACAGATCTATATAGGGAGAATGGCTATTCAGCCCACCCTAGAATTCTTAGCTCCACCTGTATGGGTGGAATGAATCTTGACCATGGATCGATGTCAAATTCATTGACAGGATGCGATTTGTAGAGGGCTACTAATAGACTACGAAAGGTTATAATTTCAGATTTCAGCGGTGAAGTATAATTTACTTCACCAATCTATATATAAATGAAGAGATATTACCATTATACAGCTGAATGCCATATTATCCGTATGTTCAGAGGAGATTTGGGCTCAATATAACTTACAACTAAGCGGTTAGTGTGAGGACCACCACCTCAAAAATCAAGAAAGTACTGTGCTTCAGCCTTTCCAAACGGTTGTACATGGCTTATTTGTAGCAGATCCAAAGTGCAATTTATATTTGAGCATGGTCGTGAGAAAGTGCATTAAAAGTTCACGATCCTGTCCAAAGTTCATCATAATTATGACATCAAAACTCGGCGAGTGATCTGAATCATGCAACCCTGTAACCCGGACTCGGCCGAGTTGAAATGTCTGATGCACCGGGTCAATGAGTAAAAACAATCTATCTATTTTTTATTAGAATAATGTGGAAAGTATCAAATATCCGCTTGATGAAATTGAATGAATATATTTCTTTGGATAGGGATCTGCTGCCAACAAATTGCTCCCGATGATGACATTATTGAGACTGGTACTATCATTGGGAGATGTTCCCAATACACGTCAGGGATGTACTGTGGGGTGGAAATGGGAACTCTTTTTTTGGAGACTTTCATACATTATTTGAATGGTTTATATCAATTAAAAACTTGATAAATTACATGGATGACTGGGATTATTAATTCACTAATGAAACCACCTTGATGGCCTATATCTTTGAGTGCATCATTTGGATAATTGTGATCGGTTGATTAATTTTATGGTAACATTTGCCTCTGTATTAACATAATATATCTAGGCTCGAGCCTGAGCTCGGCCCGACCAATGGGCCTAGATCTTGAGCCCAAGCCCAACCCTTATATAAAGCCCAAAGCCTAGGCCTGAGTCCGGCTAGAAAATTGGAAAAAGATTTTTTTTCCTTTTTTTATTCAATAAAAACTATTTTATTTATATTAAAAGACCTCAAAACTTAAAAAATAATGAAAGATCTCACTATTACTTGAAAAAAGATAAGAATAATAAAGAAAAAAATATTATATATATATTTATTATATAAAATATATTTTTATTATATAAATGCATTATCAAGTCGGGCTCAGGCTCGAGTTGGGCTTTATTGAGAAAGCCTGAGCCTGAGCCTGTGGGCTTGATGTCTTGTCCAAGCCCGACTTGGATCGAGCCAGGCCAGGCCAGCCCGTTGGGCTATCCGGCCCATAAATAGGTATAGTGTCAAGTTAGTACCCAAACTTTCAAACGTGTCACTGTAGTACCTAAACTTTCAAAAAGTGTCAAGTTGGTCCTTACCGTTAACCGACCGTCAATTATCTATTGAAAATGTCAAAACTACCATTCAAAAGAAAACACTGTTCACTGTCTTCTACCTTGAGATTGAACTGATTATCTTCAAAGAAAAAGAGAGAAAAAACATGAAATATGATAAAGAAAAACAATAACCGAAAGAAAAGAAGTAACTAAACAAGAATGTGCTTTAGATCAGCTATAGCAGAAATGGATTGGTTTCAAAGATTACCTAGAGACTAGTCTGGCAGAAACAACTGAATCTGAGCTTCTAACCATCGCCTAGTTGCCAATTATCCTGGGTTGAAATTTAACTTGGGTTTGAAACAATGCAATAAGGGATTCCCTCATCTTAGACAACACTTTGAACCTTTCAAACAATGTTACCGACAACTAACGAAGGAGATTCTGAGACCAAGACCGCCGATGGAGAAATTTAAAGCAAAGAGTATCATTTCTGAAGCCTACTTGAGGCAAGTCTTCATGGGGTGAAGAAAACCCAAGTGGACGATCAAGTTTAGGGGAGGATGATCAATTGGGATAATGTGCAACCGTGGAGATGAAAGTTGTTGCCGCAGTGAACAGATGGAGTTCAATTGTTGACAAGCATTGTTGAGATCAAGAGTGATGAGAATGAGCAATACCTTGGGTGTGAATCACATCCAAAGTCAAGGAACTTGAGCCACCACTGCTATTTCCCGCTCTATTCAATGGAATAGGAGTGTGGAAACAAGGGATTGCTGATGTGTTAGAGGAGCCACAATACTGAAATCGCTCGATATGGGTTATGGCTGGGAGAAAGCAGATCGCTGCTGCTGT